GCCGCTGCATGCTTGCTGGAGAACTGAGATTTTGTAAAGAAGAATGGTGTTTGGATACAGGGTTCTCGCTATCCCAATCCAGGTTAACATAAACCAGATTTGTTCCAACCCGATTTAAGGTCCGGCCCGTTTGACCCACTTTAAGGTCCAGACCGTTTGACCCGCTTTAAGGTCCGGCCCGTTTGACCCACTTTAAGGTCCTGCCCGTTCGACCCGATTTACTGACCGGGTCTGTTCTACTCTGAGTCTTCTTCTGTTCCTGGTTCAACTCTGTTCTGGCCTTCTCGGGTGCAACAGTTTCTTTGATTCTTTGGTACAGATTTGGCATCTTAACTTAGCGCAAATAAGTTTTTTTCACATATTCATATATCCATGTCGGACGATTCAAATGTTGCTTCTGGGTCTACTGGAGTTAAATATTTTGCAACACATGTTGATCCTGTCGGGCTACAAATTACATCTATGAAATTAAGCAATTCCAATTACTTACTACGGGCTCAAGCAGTAAAGATCTCTTTAGGTGCCTAACAAAAGCTGAAGTTTATTACAACTGATCCTCCATCAAAAACATCAGCAACATATGAGGATTAGGAAACTTATAACTATATGGTTATGTCCTGGTTGTGGAACAGTATGGAACCTTCCATTGCATCCACTTTGATGTTTGTCAACACTGCAAAGGCAATCTGGGATGCAGTTAAAGAAACTTACTCTATGGACACGAATGTTTCTCGCATATATTCATCGTATGAAAAGATATTCCATTCTCGTCAATCTGACTTCTCTGGTCAAGGCCTCGATGGGTATTACAGTACTTTCAAAAGCCTGTTAGATGAGTTGAATCAGTACCATCCCTTGACTACTGATCCTGACGTTCTCAAGCGACAACGTGAGGAATTTTCTGTTTCCATTTTTCTTGCTGGTTTGCACCCGAGCCTTCATAATATTCGGGATCAGATCCTTGCTGGTGATAGAGGACTCCCATCTTTGGGTAACATTTATTCCCGCTTACTTCGGGTTTCAGAACAATCACATGTGATGCCCACTGGAGTGAAAGAAAATTCAGCTATGATGATTCCTTCTATTTTTTCACAATCCTCTAGAGGTCGTGATACTCCTAATGGCAACAGAGGGTATGGTGGAAATTCGGGTGATACTCTTAGTGGCAACAGAGGGTATGGCGGAAATTCGGGTAGTTCTCGTGGCAGCCAATGTCGGGGTACTAACCATTTTGTTGAGAACTGTTGGACTCTTCATGGGAAACCAGCATGGGCAAATCAAGCAATGTCTTCCTCTGACCTTGCGGCGTCTCATCACTCTCTTGGTCAGACTTCTGTACTACCATCACCTGTATCTACTAGTGACACCGTGACACTATCATTATCACGAGTTGAGTTCAGTGCATTGGTCAACCGGACACATCCCAACTCTACTGATGTGGTTAATTTTGCGCAATCAGGTAATATTGCATGTTTGTCCGATTTACAGACTTCAGCATCCCTTTGGGTTATTAACTCTGGGGCTTCTACCCATCTCACAGGTGATGCCTCTCTATTTTCTAATTTTCAGAAGTCTAGTTCCTCATCTTTTGTTACTCTGGCTGATGGTAGAACATGTTCCATTATTGGCCAGGGAACAATTAAATTAACCCTATCCATTTCTTTATCCTCTGTGCAATTAGTTCCAAATTTTCCCTTTAATTTATTATCTGTAAGTAAATTGACTCAAGCACTGAATTATTTTGTCACATTTTATCCTTCATTTTGTGTCTTTCAAGACCTCAACACGAAACAGACGATTGGTGGGGGCAGTAACAGAAATGGCCTATACTATTTGGATTGCAAACCTTCCACTGTTGCTTTACATTCCCAGATGTCTGTGTACCAGTGGCATTATCGGTTAGGTCATCCCTCGTTGCGGTATTTGAAGTCTGCTTTGCCTCTCCTTGTTTAAATTGTGAGTCTTATCAGTTGGGTAAGCACCATAGAGTGCCTTTCCCTCCTCGTATCGTTAATCGTCGATCTTCTTTATTTGAATTAGTGTATACAGACATTTGGGGTCCTGCTCGTCACACTAGTCACTCAGGTTTTTCTTATTTTGTTACCTTTGTTGATGATTATTCAAGGATGACTTGGTTGTTTTTAATGAAAGACCGCTTTGAACTTTTTTCCATATTTCAAATATTTTTAAAAGAAATTGAGGTCCAATTTGGGTGTGTTATACGCACTTTACAATCTGATAATGCTATGGAATATGTCAAAGGTACTATTTCTAGTTTTTACGACTCTCATGATATTTTGCATCAAACTTCTTGTTCTTATACTTCTCAACAAAATGGCGTAGCCGAACGGAAAAATAGGCATTTAATTGAAACAGTTCGGACATTGATTACATATGCATCTTCCAAAAGCATTTTGGGGCGATGCTGTTTTAACTGCTTGTTATTTAATTAATCGTATGCCATCTTCCGTTCTTAATTGGAAATGTCCTTATTCCTTTGTTTTTCCTACTCGATCGTTATTTGCATTGCCACCTCGTGTTTTTGGGTGTATGTGTTTTGCTCACATATTACGCCCTGGCGATGATAAATTGTCTCCTCGTGCCATTAAGTGTGTCTTTATTGGACACTCTCGGACTCAAAAAGGTTATAAATGTTGGGATCTTAGCACTCGTAATACTTTTGTGTGCATGAACGTTACCTTTTTTGAGGATACTCCTTATTTTTCTTCACATAGTTCGTCTTTAGATACCGAGCTGCTACTTCCGTTGCCTGTTGTGTCACATTCATTACCCTGTGACCCACCACAACCACCTCATGTGCCACTTCAAGTGTGTAGTCGTCCCCCCCCCCCCCCCCCCCCCACACACACACACACACACACACTGTCTACTTCCATTGAGGCTCCTCCTGTTATTGATGATCTTCCTATTGCATTACGTAAGGGTATTCACTGCTGTGTCACTCCACACCCCATATCTAACTTTGTTTCCTATAAAAAGGTATCACCCTCATTTTCTTTTCTTTTTTATCCCTGTTATCTGCTACTGCTATTCCGAAAACTGTGCAGGATGCTCTATCTGATATAGCTTAGCGCAAAGCCATGATAGATGAAATGGATGCTCTTCATCATAATGGGACATGGGACCTTGTTCCCTTACTCTGGTTCCTAAACGGTTGGTTGTAAGTGGGTCTACACTATCAAATATCTCCATGATGGATCTGTTGAGCGATTGAAGGCTCGCCTTGTTGCAAAGGGATACACACAAACCTATGGCATTGATTATGATGAGACTTTTTCCCTTGTTGCGAAGATTTCTTCTATCCGAATCCTTATTTCCATTGCCGCCAATTGTAATTGGCCGTTGTTTCAATTAGATGTGAAAAATGCTTTCTTACATGGTGACTTACATGAAGAGGTTTACATGGAGCAACCACCTGGATTTGTTGCTCAAGACGAGTCTCGTTATGCTATATGTCGTCTTAAAAAGGCCTTGTACGGATTGAAACAATCTCCAAAGGCTTGGTTTGGAAAATTTTCCGAGGTGGTACTTTCCTTTGGCCTTAACAGATGCCAAACAGATCATTCGGTATTTCACCAACATACTAAAATTGGCTTTGTATTTCTTGTGGTATATGTAGATGATAATGTTATAACAGGTGATAATTCTGACGGCATTGCAAAGTTAAAATTGTTCATACAGAATCGGTTTCACACAAAGGATCTAGGCAAACTCAAATATTTCTTGGGAATTGAGGTTGCTAGATCTAAAGAAGGTATAAATCTATCTCAAAGAAAATATGTGTTGGACTTGTTAAAAGAAACAGGTATGTTAGGTACTCGCCCTGCTGATGCTCCTATGGACCCAAATATAAAATTATTACCTGATGAGGGTGATTTATTTGACGATCATGGCAGATATCGACGTCTAGTTGGGAAATTAATTTATCTCACTATCACCTGACCTGACATTTCATATGCAGTTAGTGCTGTAAGTCAGTTCATGAGTGCTCCTAGAGTACCACATTGGAATGCTGTTCTTCGAATTATTCTATATCTCAAACAAGCTCCAGGTTTTGGATTACTATATAAACCTAATGGTCATCTTAATGTGACAGGTTTCACATATGCTGACTAGGCTGGTTCTCCCTCAGATAGGAAATCTACTACAGGCTATTGTACATTTGTTGGTGGAAATCTTATTACATGGAAAAGTAAAAAGCAAACAGTTGTAGCACGGTCTAGCGCTAAAGCAGAGTACAGGGCGATGGCCCATACCTCTAGTGAGTTAACGTGGATACAACATTTTCTTAAAGAACTTAGGTTAATAGTCAAGACTCCTATTCCACTATTTTATGATAACCAAGCAGCTATTCACAACGCATCCAATCCGGTGTTTCATGAAAGAACCAAGCACATTGAAGTTGATTGTCACTCACTCGAGAGAAAATATTGAGTGGAAACATTTCTACTTTATTCGTGAAGTCTGAAGATCAATTAGTTGATATGTTTACTAAGGCTCTTGGTCATAATCAGTTAAAAACGATTTGTTCCAAGCTGAGATTATATGATATATATTCTCCAGCTTGAGAGTGAGTGTTAAAACACTTATATGTATATATGTATTTATGTTGGGGTCCTATTGTAATTAGATATAGGATTTGTGGCCATTATGTAAATAGACCTTTCTTGTATTGTATATAAACCCCTTTTATGTTTTAGGGTGAAAGTAAGATATGTGAAATGTGGGCTGCGCCTCAAACTCTCGTCTAAGCTCTCTCTCTCTCTCTCTGTATCTCTATTCTCTTTCTATACAAATCTCCATTTTTACACCTGCAATAGGGGAAAAACTACCATCGGCAATGCTAATTTTTTCATTCCCAGAACAAGGTGAATAAGTATCAAAAAGGTGAGAAAGAGATGTCATATGATCAGACGCCCCGGAGTCAATAATCCATGGTGCAAAGTCTAGGCTACAGGATAAAGCATTAGGATTTCTACCTGTTTCAGCAAGGAAACCACTAGGAGTACCTAGTGAAGAATTGGACTTTAGCAATTTAAGAAGATGATCCATCTGCTCCTTGGAGAAGGGACCTGTTTCGGCTTCATTTGCCGAAGGGAATGAACAATTAGATCTGTCGCCCGGCTTGCTGCTTTTCCAGTTTGCTGGCTTTCCATGGATTTTCCAGCAGGTTTCTCGGATATGACGTGGCCTATTGCAGAAATCACACCACACCCGAAGCCTCTCATCCTGCCTTCTTTGATTGGTGGCAAATACCTTGTTCGCACTTGCATCGGATGCAACCAAGGCTGAGTTCTCGACAGGTGCAGCAGCTCCCTTTTCTTCGAGCATGACATTTCTGCGGCTTTCTTCACATCTAACTTCAGTGAAGACTTCACCAATTGAGGGCAAAGGCTGTTGACCAATTATTCTCCCCCTAACTTCGTCGAATTCAACGTTTAGACCTGCAAGAAACTTGTAAATTCGATTATTCTCCACCATCCTTTTGTTATGATCACAATCTTCTGGCGATTTCCACTCGTAGTCATTGAACAGGTCAAAATCTTGCCATGGCCGCTTCAAAGAATTGAAATACTTGGTGATGTTGTCCTCTCCTTGTCGGATTTTACCAAGTTTTAGTGTCAACTCAAAGATTTGGGACTGATTTCCTAGATCAGAATACATCTGATTAATATTGTCCCAAAGTTCCTTGGCTGTCGGATAGCACATGTAATTGCAGCTGATATCTTCCTCCATGGAATTTACGAGCCAAATCATGACCATGGAATTTTCCGCATCCCAGGTTGAATATGCCGAGTCTTCTTTTTTTGGTGCCTTCTTATCTCCTGTCAGATAACCAATCTTTCCCTGTCCACGGATGTACAACCTGACAGACTGAGACCAACGCAAGAAGTTATCACCATTCAATCGAATATTGGTGATTTGGACAGAGTGTGAATCAGAGTTGCAAGCATGGATTGCAGGAGTTTTTGATGGGGCAGTGGAGGAAGTGGAATCAGATGAAATTTCTGACATGGTGAAGGACTGCTGGAAGAAGAAAAAAAAGTGTCTGTAAGAGTCAGAGATTAAGTCCCTGCTCTGAAAAAAAAAAAAAAATCTGTAAGAGTCAGAGATTAAGTCCCTGCTCTGATACCATGTAAAATATATTGTATTGAATAAATTACAATGAATGATACAAAAGGTATACATAGGCAAAACCTAATGGGTTAGGTGAAATTAGGCAAGGTGTGAACAAAAGCTTGGTGTGCTTCTAGAAAGCATGCTACTAGAAGGTGACAATATTGAATATACAATGCTGAATCTAACATTCAACTATCTAGAAGTCAGCTTTACTATTTTATAGTTGACAGCAATAACCTTTTTCAACAAGTACCATCATGTAATTTGTAACTCGAAGCAAGGTGATTGTCAGACATATGAGAGTGTCTGCAAATAATCATTTTTTCCATTTTTTTCCTTTCCGGAGGGAGGAGTGAAGAGTAGGAGCGCATAAACTTAACCTGTAAAAGCAGCCTCCATCCAAGCTCCTTCAAAAGATCATTCTTTGATATTTCTAACATGGCACACATGACAACATCAGCAGCACTACCCTGTTGCAATTGTCTAATCAGAACTTGATATGTGTGTGTGTGTGTGAGAGAGAGAGGGCATTGGGAGAGGAGAACCTGTACTGGAGTATTGATGGCAGCTCGTTCAATGTGACCTCTTAGAGAGGGAGTTGCATTATACATTGAAGGGAACCGGCAGGCTCGTCCTAGTAATGTATGAACACATTTCTGTTTTTGGGCTTCCTTTATACGTATTTCCTTCCAGCGCCGCACTTCTTGTCTTTCACTGTACCAGAGAGAGATTATTTCGTGTGCTTCATTTTCAGAAACCTGAGAATAAAAATGGTAAGCATCATGCCTCAATGGATTAGATTATTTCAGTTGGAACAACAGGAGTTACTCATTGTTCCAGGTTTTATAATGCAAAGGGTACCTTCCAATCACGGGCAAGCCCTGCTGGAGTTATTCCGGATGCAATATAAAAGTTGAGCATCTTTGCTTTCATTCTTTCAGAAGCAAAAGAATCCTGAAGAAAAATATCTTTTTTATATCAATAAACCAACAAGAAGAAAAGTGATCATCATTGCATTGATAGATAAAGGTAACCTTTAAAAGAAAAGGCAATATTATCCTTTAAAATCCATTATGTTCTCAACTGCAGAAACAATGAAGTTACACTACTATTTCTAAGTTCGCTAACAACCCATGAACAAGCCATGGAAAACGATTCACCACACTATCTGATTAAATAATAAGATAAATAGTAAATAAATCCACTTTCATCATTAATTAAAGGCATCCATGTCAAATTGTTGTCCTATTTGAGTTTCTCGCAATAAAGGTAAAAATCCTATAACTAATCAGTTATTTATTCATTTCAATAAAATATATGGCAGCTCTCTGTGCAAACAATTGCTAACGATAGAGACCTGTAATTCTTTTCAGTGCAGAAGGTTCATGCATGGCATATAACATCATCGAAAAATTTCAATGCCCCATAACATCATCGAAGAATCCCAAGGACCCAGAATTTTCTCCTCTCAAAGACAATAGTAATAATGCAGCCTGTATTTAATATTTTTCTGGAGGCAGTTTTAACTTAACAGAGTAATTCCATAACGCAAGAGCAATGAAAAATTTTCTACTTGAAATTGAAACTTCTTCAGTTTTATCCGTGAGGAACCGTGTCTTGCAGTACTTGGTCCATTTTCATCAATCAACTAAATAGTGCATGATGCCCAAGTTTGGTCCAGCTATTGATTCTAGGATGAGGAGGACGACAGACCCACTCACAATCTACCAAAGCACAAGTACCTTGATTTGTGAGATGGCACTGATATTTAGCTGGTCATGGCCATACCGTGTTGCTTTCCTCATATTCCAATAGAACCTTCTTTTCCAGAGCAAGACTCCCCAGGGAAGGTTAAATAATTCCAAGTAGGCAGATCAAGAAAGGGATAAAAAACCAGCTTTCATTTACTCGGCTTAATGCTAGAGAGCCAACCTTGTCCCACTTCAACTTGGCAAAAAGCCCTCTTAATCGAATTGCCAAATGCCAATATTGATCTGTGTTGTTTAGCTGGTCATGGCCGTGATGTGTCGTATTCATTGGAACCCTTTTTTTCCCCAGAGCAAGACTTCACAGGAAAGGTAGTGTTTAAACAGTTCCAAGTAGGCGGGTCAAGCAAGGGATTAAAAAAACCAGCTTTCACTTACTCAACTTAATACTAGAGAGCCAACCCTGTCCCATTTCAAATTGGCAAAAAGTCCTCCTAATCAAATTGCCAAATGCCAATACCAATCTGCCTTGCCTTGTCATGCTTAAGCTACTATTGGCGCACTTCATACAATTGTGGATGGAAGAAATTCCATCCTACTAATTGCAAGTCTTTACATCTCACCCATCTCCACCACCCTACTCCCTCCAAGCCAAAAAACAAAAACAAAAAAATGAACCACCAAAAAAAGTAAAAAGATGAAGCGAGAGCAAAAGGCAATCAAGATAAATATCCAAGTAAAGTGTTGATACCATAAGATTGCTATTTCTGGAAACATAAATTCCACCAAAATATAAGAGAAAGATTTCACTATTCACCTTTAATAGAGGAAAAGGAGGTTTATCTTCACCAGGTTGAGGATGCCACTCAAGAAGCACACACTTCTGTTCAATGGCTTCACGAACGTGGGGATACATATTCATTGCAGTCCTTGAATGAAAATCTCTACCAGCTTTGAAGGCATCCAACATACTCTTACAGTTGGCAAGATGTGCAATAATCCTAAGTTCCAGCTAATTACGATAAAAATACAAAATCATAAGGAGATGATTAGGTTTATAAAATCATTATGGATAGAAAAATTGTTTTAGTCCCTTACTTGTCCATAATCAGCAACAATAAGGGAGTTCCCAGGTGCAGCAATAAATGCCCGGCGAATCTTATAACGGTCTTTCTCTAATGCAGGCTGATTCTGATGTACATAAAACAATAACATTAACCTACCTAAACATTTGTAGAGATCACAGTGGAGAGTGTATTTAAATATATATATATATATATATTCTGTAGCGTTGTCTCCTTAGGTGAACATTCAAAGTATGGCATCTGCAAGTCATAAACAACAGTCTGACCCTCAAGTGTACCAGTACCGAGGACCCCATGTGAATATTTTGCTAAGGATATGTATCTTTGACATGGAAAAGCTGGAATGTAGATTCCCATAGGATAATTCCAGATAAAGCAGCATGTAACTGGAGAACTCAGAACAATATACTTTCCTGAAATGTAAGATGTTCTCAATACCGTTTGATCATCCTTTTTGAGTCAACACTAATCTCTATAGACACAAACATCCCTGGAAACCGCGTGCACCGGATAAGTCTGTGGGAGTCAAACTTAAGACATCTAGTTCCTGAGCTATTGCCTCGGTCAGCTCGACTTACCTAGCTTGTTCTTAGTAGCTCTGTAATACATTATAGGCTATCCTTGGCATATTGATTACCATTGAAGAAGGGAAAAAATAAAAGGTTGAAAAAAAAATTAGAAAAACAAGAAGTGCAAAGAAAAAGAACATTATAGCCACTCTCATTTATCAAAAAAAAAAATATATATATATATATATATATATATATTATAACCAAACAATAACCATTTATTTTATCATATTTGCAACCTCCGTGCAGTATGTTAAAGAATAAAACATCTTAGGATGAATATTGAGGTCATATCACGTTTAATAGTAGATGAAAGCAAAACAGATAAATCATAAACCTCAAAATTTGGTCTCCTAGCTGACAATCGCCCAGTTTCTGTGTTGATATTCAGTGAACAATGTACGCGCCCATTCTTGCCTGACACATGACTGCCCTGCGTTAGAAAGAAACAAATATAATCATAAAAAATCTGATAAATTCGAGGGTAAAAGTAGTAAAATAAAACAACTATTAGCTAAGCACAGAGAAAACATTAGCAGACATCCCCCTGGGAAGGGGAAGAGACTTCTGTCATGCACACATGTAGGTTGGATGAGTCCTAGTCAAATCTCACTTGTATTATTTCAACTAACAAGTTTACTTTACATCAAAACATTCATACGCATCACTACATGAGAGTCGTATACACTTGCCCCCAGGGGTGGGGGTTTGGATTGATGAATCAGCTCAAACAAAAAGAGACACATTCAATACCATTAAAAGATCCTAATTTAGCCTTAAAACCATCAAAATCCAATACTCATAGCTGGATGATTATATTATAATATATATATGTATTTTTAACGCAATGCAACCTTCATTTATTTACTGGATAAAAAATAAATAAAAATAAAAAAGAGAGTGGCTATAAAAGAGATACCTTTTAAACAAATAGTAACTCATCAAAAAGAAAAACCATAACTCACATAATTATGCAATCAGAACAAAAAAATATATGTAGAAGATATTTAAATATTAAAACAAATATTAGAAGTGGACACAACAACAAACCAAAAGTCTTTTTCTATAAAACAGTAAGGTAAATTTATCCAGAAATACGAATCCACAATTCACAAATATGTACCAGTTTCTCCACGCATATGTGTGAATGATGCAACAACCATTGCACCTCCAAAAAGATTTTTTTTTAAAAAAGGCACTAGCTTTTGTGCAATAACATGTACAATTAGTGAGGAAAAATAAAGATACTGTGTTTCAATACAATAGAATGCGGACAACAGGGCAAGTAAAGGGATTTGATTGTAAAGATAGATATGATATTGAGATGACAACAACTTGTTATCCATCTTTCTGAAGCTCAATAATTTTACTTCTTTTTCTACCCATTTTAAAGCTTGTATGAGCAAGGAGGTGAAGAAGCTATTTGAGCTTAGGAAGGAAACCTGAGTACAGTCCTAGTGCTAAGGCACATACTTTACCAGCCAAGCAAACTAGCATCTCTTTGAGCTCAATCATGTGACTCTGTGTCAATCAGTTGATAGGCTAATATGCTTGAATAAAAAACTACTAGTGCTGGCTTACCTCCAGTATGACGGGAGAGAGGAATTTAAGAAAAACCTAACCCTTGGTATTATAATATAAAGTTACAACTCTCAAACCCAAACCTGCATGGCACATCCTTGTCAAGCCAGCTTCTACCATTGTACCAAACAATGGCCCATAGGCGAATATCTTGTAATTAGAAATATTTCAGATAGGAATTTCAAAAGGTTATTAGTTGTAATTTATGTGCTTCCCGAAAATGATATTATGTAATGGACTTAGATAAATGATGACCAGTAATATACTCTAGATAACTAAAGTTTCCAGCTTTATATAAACGCTTTTTGCATTATTTGACATTGTCTTAAATCACCATAAAGGATCTCAAAAGAGCCTTCCTCCAACTAATTGAATTAGGTTTATATTTGCAACTGTTTCAAAATTCTGAATTCAATTTAAAGTTCTTTTTGTAATTAAAATGAATATATTTGTGCTGCATAGGAGGTGTTGCACATTGATTAAGAAAACATAAAATATGCAAGGCACCTAGAAGACCAGCAAACACTTGTATCCCCACTTCCTTTCAGTTTGTAAGTCCTTTTTATTCCTTTCCTTTGTGATCCCTCTATAAATTCAATTACTTTTTTAACCCAACAAAAATGCCTACTGGCTCACACAGTTACTGTTGGTTATTACTATCATCAACTCATGATTATTTGGTTGGACACCACAGGAGAGGAAGCTGGTTTTGTTGTGAACTGTAGAACATAGGGACAGTCCCCAACATGGTCCAATCATTTTTTTATTTTATTTTTATTTTTATTTTTTTTGTTAATGGTGACATGGTCCAATCATTTATTTCCAAAAAGAGTGGTACAATCAAACTTGTCCAGTCCAATTATTTTAACATTTTTTGAGTTAAAAAAACTTTATAAAAGCCTTACACAACACCACATATATTTTTCAGAGACCTGGAACAATAAAGGCTATTATTCCCCAAAAGTACTGAGCGAAAATACAATCCTATAGAGAATTTCAATACGTAATTATTTATGAACAAAAATTTATTCAGGGATAAGAAATTCATGAAGTGTAACAGTAAGGTATGGCGACATGGTAACCTGAAAAGGGAGGATAAAGTTGGATATCACAGATTCTATAGAGCAAACTTCAAATAAAGCAGCAATTGCATGGCAAGCCTCCTTCCCACTCTGCCCCCCTCCAAATGCAGCATAAGCCGTTCCATAAGCAGATTCTGTGTCCCCACTGGCAGCTCTTTCCTTTGACTCTGAGAGTTCACTGCTCATTTCAAGTAAGTTTCCAGCATTGTCATCTGATTGAAACTGATAAGCTTCATCCATAAAATCAAATTCTGCAGAAAACTTCCCAGCAAGGGTCTTCAAAGCAACTCCTCTGACGGTGGGCCAACCAGTTGCATTGTAAATCTCAGTTTGTATCTCAGGACCAAGGCTATGTAGTTTTATATTGAGACATTTTGCTTGAGTTTTCTCGCCTTCTTCCATCACTTTCTGGATGTTGGGAACTTTAAAATCCCTCTCAATTGGAAGCCTTTTATTACGATCCTTCCTGTAAATATAAATATGAAAGATTAAGTGATCAATATAAATATATAGAGCTTCCCTTGGTATTTTTTGCATAGGATGAGCAATGGAGGAAAGCAGCAATTGTCCAGAGATTCAATGTTGTCGATGCAATAGAACAATATGAAAGTTGACTCATTCAACAAAAATGTGCAAGGCAATAGGGGCAACTTCCATCTGTATGAGCCAAATGCATTCCTTTTAAATTAGGTATGGGCACTTAATTTTCACAGGGAACAAAGAAATCCTACAATCATGCGTGGATCTCATGCAAGAGTGAGGGGCAATTTTTTCTGATACATAGCCATAGTTCCCAGAAACTATTTTCATTTACTCAGAATAGCCATTGTGCTAAATCAGTTTAGTTTTATAGTACTGAAGCATATTAAATCCAGGACATTAAGAAAATATAAATAACCATCAGTTTCGTTGTGCAGGCAATGAAGTTATTACCTAAGCTATCCTACAAATAACTATGTTTTATATAAGTACTCGTTAGCTCCATGCACACTTCATACAGTCTTCAAATACCAATACTATGAAGAATAAACTCATCCATCAAAGATTTCCAAAAGAAGTATTTCAGCTTAGTTGGACCCAAATTCAGTAGCTCCCCAGCAATCACGAGTATTCAAAAGAAATGGCATAAGCCAGCTCCAATATGTCGACATTGAGAATATGTGAAATTCAAGGAACTAGCTCTGTAATCATTTATATCTGAAGGCAAAACATTTTTCTTTATTGATTTTCATGTTACAAAATTACTCGTGCCAGTGTAATCAAGACCTCCTGTGAAGAATGGACCCAGATACAGGTTATGTACATGATCATACAAACATAATACAAACACAGTGATACAACAGATTCTTAAAGAAAATTAGAAAAAAAGGCACGCAGACAGTGAGACTCGACAATCTCTCTATGCACATATGCATAAAAATTGGATTTGAGTATAACTTTAAAATTATAGTTATTTATGTTTTATGGATATATTATGACAAACAATCCCGTTTACAAAAATTATCAAAAAAAACTATTTTTATAAATCCATCAACTGCCATGTAATTCTGGCTTATAATACAAAAAATCACATGAAAAAGATAAAAAATTATGCTGCATGGAATTAGACACATACTTTCTAATTATATCTCAACTCTTCTTCTCTAAGAAAGTATAACTATTTGAAATCCTCATTATACTTTTCATAACAATTTCACTATGATAATTTTTTTTTTTTGATAAGTAAAAATAACATTAAAAAAGGCGTTCAAGAGGGGAACGCGTCCCAATTACAAAAGTGGAACCGGGACTAAGGCCCCAAAGAATCCAAAAAAAGTAATTAAATCATATGAAGAAGAACAAAAGCTCTTCTTCACATAATTGAAGAGAGAAAGAAGAATGTAAAGTTTGACCGTTTCCGTAGGCGACTCTTTTCCTTCGAACATGTATCATACACGTTTCAAGAGCATCCAAGAAATATTAGACAAAAGTTTGAAATTAAATTTAAAAAAAAATAAAAACTTATTTACAATATAGAAACATTTAAGAAACTGAGAAGTATCAATGTCCAATACAAATACAACTGCCTTATGGAAGTATCAATGCAACGAAAAAGACCTTAAACCATAACAGATTGGCTATTTTGTGCCATAAAGTAGAATCTGTGGTTTATTTTCCTTCTTTTTTTTATCCTTTTTTTTTTTTTTTTTTTTTTTTTTTGGGTGTGAATTGGGGGGGAAGCAGGAAAGTTTTGGAAAAAAAAATAAAAAATGGAAGCATTGATTGAATAAAAGACATGTTTACCAGAAAGTACGGACTTACAAGGAGCAAAATGGAAAAACGGGATTAAGGTGGTGAATCCAGAAAATGTAGATACTGGTCTTGTTGAGTTAGTTAGTTTAAAACATTAAAACTAGTTACCTGCTCTGAATACCGCCAAAAAAGAGCTGGCGCAACTGGTCATCACTTCTAATATTCATGTACTTAGCATCAGGACAATACTTAGATGCCCAATTGCGAAACCTATTCTCAGCAACCTGTTGCTCTGCTCTAGCTACTTTTTCAATCTCTGCGAGATAGGCTTGGTCGACCAGCATCCCCTCCTTTTCCATTTCTACTAAAAGCTCACCAAATGGGCACCAATATTTCGTGTAAAAGTCAAACATTGTTCCTTTACAAAATCCCTCGACTTTCCACTTCATATCAACTAGTTTGCTTTTCAAACTCTTATAGAGCTCTAATGTGCTTATTGAATCAAAGGCAGAATAACATATCCATGGTTTCCGCTCTTTTCTTTGAAGCTCTTCAATAGGAGGGATAGTGATAATTTTGCCCTCAGATCCATCTTTATTCACCTTTCTCCTGCCAAAGATGGTTACCATTGATACTTTACTAATCAAATTTTCATCAAGGTGGCGACCATCACCAGACATGACCCTAGGGTCACATTTAAGTGCTTCTATTCGCCTTGAAGAATCACATAATCGAGCCATATGCATTGTGTCAGCATGAAAGCCAGAAATTTTAAGCCTATAGTTCTGCAGAACATGACTGTCAAAGCTATAGTTGTGCCAAACCTACAGAAAAGGCAGGCACCTAATCATTATTCATTTTTGTCATGGTAAAAGATGTAACCTAGATCTTCATAACCGAAGCAGAAATTGAACCAATATTAACCACAGAATGATGACGTTCAAGTAATCAGTAAATCACTAAGAAAATGTTTCACCTTTTTGATGGAAGGATCTTCAAAAAATGGAGCAAATTCAGCTAAAAGACTTCTGCCACCACCATCTAGGACATCTACCCAGATACAAGACTTCCCATTGCCAAAATTTGCTGCTGGCTCAGAATAAATACTGAAGCATATTAATTCTCCATGATCAATAGGTGTTTCCCGTCTCACATCTATTTTAGCCACCTGCAAAGTATAAGCAAACGGAGAAAATAAGCTCAGAAGTAGCTCACGATCACACGTAACTGTACACATGCATGGATAAAGTAATGTGAAACAAATATATACTGCATGCCTTCTTGTTGCATAAACAACCACATAAATATACAAATGTATAGAATGTAACCTAAGAGAAGACATGCCTCTGTATCGCATGCATGGACATGATGCCTGTATTGAGTTGTAAGCATCTTGACAACTTCCTTGGCTACAGAGATATTATCAACTACAAGAACCTTATCATATATGTGAGCAAGACTCTCATGAAGATGTGATTGAGAAACACCTTGGGCTTCTTCATCAGTTATTCGCTCAAAATATATTTCATCTGCATCATCAGCAGCGGCAGTAGAATTTGCATCTGCGGCATCCCTTTGAGATAAATAAGCGGTGCTGGTTTCAAATAGTTCTGGACTTGTTTCTTTCCTTTCCTCTGAAAGTTTCTCTAACAACAAACCATTGGGATGGAAATCTTTGAGTATTGAATGTTCTGAATTTAAATCCTTTTGCCTTGCATGATTAGACTCGGAGCCACTAATATTAATGGAAGCAGGCACGCTTGAACTTCTGTATTTGTAACCGCTCCCCTCTTGCAAACCCTCACGCTTACCTTGTGCATTCTTCTTGCCATTCCCAAAATTTGTCCTTTTCTGTTTTCTTTTTATTTCACGCGGCTTGGACCATACAGCTCCACAGTTTTTCCTATCGCTGTTGAACTCTGTTGTTTCAGAAGCTGTATCCGAATCGTTGGGGCCGCATAGATGTGTTGGAACCTCTGAAACAGGGACCATGAAAGCAGATGATGTAGAAGGATTTCCTGCCTTTGGCAAAACTATAAGCTTCCAAGTATACGCACCGTATCTACGAATTTGACTGAATGACATGCTGTTATAACTTGAACCTTGTTTAAGATGAAGTGATCGACCAAACACTGTTAGACTGGAAAATGGAGATTTGCTAGTCAGGATCGTCAAAACTTTTGGCCCCAAATTTAAATCAACAATGAATGAGAAAAACATAAGAGATTGATATATAAAAAAAATTGTATTCCCTTGCAAGGTAAATATGAAAGATGGCAATACCAATTACAAGCATCTACAACATCAATAAGATAATATATAATCACAACATCCAATAATTGATCATATGAAACTCAACACAACTTTACCCCAATTACTTAGTTCTCCACTTCTCCTCTGATATTTAATTTTTTTAAATTACTTTTAATTACTTCATCCAATGTTTTTCTAGACTGTTGTTTCTGGTTTCCTGGTTTTAGGGTATGTCCTAAAACTTTTCTGTTCTTGTTTTTTTGGGTGATCCTTGTGCAGATCACTTTTCTATCTGTTCATATTGTTTCTTATCTATTGTATCAATAAAATACACCCCATTCAGGGGGAAAAAAAAAAAAAAAAAAATTTACTTCATCCAATGAATTCTCTTTTTGCATTCCTATCTTTCCACACATCCATCTCATATTTGCAGTTTATGCAGACTTATTTTATGACCTAAAGTTTCTTAGTTGCTTGTCATCGTGTCCCATGAAGTGTGATTGGTCTAACAACTCTTTCATAGAATTTACCTTTCACTTTCAGACATATACGTCGTTGGCTCACATGATATGCCAAAAACATCCTTCTAATTGACTCATTCTGCTTCAATTCCAAGTTTAGTATTATCTCCAATTCTCCCGTCTTTATAAAATCAATAATAGATGACAAATCGCTTTAATAACAATAGCTTGACAATGGTTATGTTTAAAATCTGCCCTAGTATTTAAACGTATAGCAAATTTATAGTACCTCAAGGGGCTGAAATCATCCTGGCTATATCAATTACTATCACAGCAAGCAATCTAAGCGCTATCGATGAAGTATAAGATAACTCAAAGCTGAATGTCCTACATATACCAACTTACATGATTTTATAAAAAATAATAAAAGCCTAAATCCATAGAAAACCAACAAACACCTTGCTAAACAAAGACACGTCTAATATGAATATTCACCTCTATTTTTCATGCAAAAAAGTAAGAAAATACTAACCCACATACCACATTTTAAAACACCACCAATCCATGAAATTTGATAATGTTGTGTTTGGATTACCGAATTGGTACCTTATGAACTATATTTCCTCCTAGCCAAGCCGCCGATTCCCTAGCCTTCTAAGACCCCCCCAAAGAAAAATAATAAATAAATAAATAACAAATGAGTACCATGAATAGCAAATGGGCATTGATAAATCGAATAACCCTCATAGTAAAAAGTATAAAATACCACAGAGCAAGTAAATGAGGTTAGCTTACTGATTATACAATAAAAAGCCGACTTGATAAGCTTTTGGCGGGACTGTAAATAACAGGTGTTTTTACAGAGTTTATACTTTGTCTGAGACTGGCGGTCCTGCGTAGGGAGCAGGGCAGACTCGCAGAGGGAACCCATGTAGAGAGAGAAAGATGGGAGAGGAGGGAGTTGGAAGTCTTAGGTCGAGGTTAAACCCACGAAAAACCCCAATCCCAACATTGCGGAAAAATTCACTCTCTCGCTCCTTTTCAGGACTTCGTAAAAAAAAAGGAAGAAAGAAAATAAAAGAAAATCAGTTATGAAATAAAATAAACGATAAAAAAACAAAACTGAACTACTAAAATTGCAATTAAACCCTTAAACTATACATTTTTGTTACAAATTACCTAATTCGTCAAGGCTTCGGTCACTAAAGTGACCATGTGCTGGTCACGTGACACACACTATACTTTTAATGGCCATAATGCCTTTATAAGTATGAAAAGCCACTAATGCCCCTTATATGACCACTACACCCAAAACCACTTACACCCCTGAAACCACTTATTTCAATACACACAGATATATGTGTACACACACACACATATATATAACTCACTGTTCATCGTCTTCATAAAGTGCATGTGCTTTCTGATTAAAATAATAATAGTAATACGTTTACCGAAACAGAAATCATACAATCATGAAAGCAAATGATAATGACTGATACAAAAGAAATTTCTAGGAATTGTAGGACCTTGTCGACATAAAAAAAATTATTGGTGATTTCATTATCACTTTGAGCATAGCATCAATGCATCAGCCGAGAAGTGAAAGCACATCCAACTCCAAAATCCCCAACCCTTTAGGTATAATCGCTCCGGAAATGCATCAGCGTCCTCGTCGAACAAACCCAATTGCAATTGCATAACCCGAAACAATTGGAATATTTTTTTGGAAATTGAATGCAATTACTAATTCATGATTGGGCAATTAAAATGAATATGTTTTCGTGGATCACCAAGCAAACCCAATAGTAATTGAAATTTAGTGATTGCAAAACGCCGGAGCTTGTATCATGCGATCGCTAAAGAAAAGAGTAAGACTTTGAACCACCATCAAACAACCCCACAAACCCACTGCCACCATCATCACCACTTAAATTCAAACATTTCTCGTCAAACCCAATAGTTCCCCACAAACCCGCCCACTGCCACCATCCCACTTTTACCGCCACCTTCACCACCACCTCAACGTGAACCAATCCAACGTGTTTTGGAAGCTCAAATAATTCATAAGGAGACGTATGAGATTGCTGTGTTGAAGACAAGTTCATACCATTTCAATTTGAGAATTTTGTGATATTGGGTGAGGGTTCAACTGTGTTTGAGATGATTTAGGGATTAGAGCATTTGGCTGTAAAAGAGTTACTAATAAAGAGTTTAAAACTTTGTTGCAAGAGAGATGTTAGGGTTTTAAGAAATTGCAGACCTCTATAACTTTGATGGCATCTCCTTGCTTGGGTCGTTAGTGTGATGGAGGGGATAACTGACATACCTTATCATAATAGGTGTGTTGTCAGCTTATCATTGGTTCTTCATATTTCTCTTTCCACCTCATTAAGTCAAGCTTCATTTACCTCAAACTGTGTCCTTTTAATAAGGGTATAATAGTCTTTTGATTTTTTCAGTACCGGAATGTTTGCTAGTGGACTAAATTGCAACAAATATATAGTTTAGGGGAGTTTCTTGTAGTTCAAGGGGTTTTTTTTGCAATACCCCAATAGTTTAGGAGATTTTTTTTTGCATTTTACCCTAAAATAAAATAAAAGAAAAGAAAGTGTAAGAATAACCTATGACAGCGTTGTAGTTTGAAAAAGGTAAATAAGAAAAAACAAAAGAAAAAATATTTTAATTAATTTACGTGCTAATGTTAAGATAGAGACTCAAAGATCTTTTGAATTTGTTTTTAAACGGGCTGTTTGGTTGGCATTTTGTTGTGGGCCGATTATTGTAGCATTATTTTTGGCCACAACGTGTTGGCCAAAATGCTTCGTTAATAATGGTTCAAAATCAAAATGTCATAGTTGTCTTGGTTTGTAACTATGGAAACAGTTTTATGCTCTCAAAAAACTGAAAACTGTATAAAAAAACACTGGGCATTTTTTGTTAGTAACTCTGTTTGGTTCAGTTTTCTGAAATCTCAGTTATAAAAATGACTATTTTCAGAGCAATTTTTTGTTTTCTAGATTTTTTAGAACTATTTTCAGAGTTACAAACTAAGTAGGCCCTATTTTCATACAACTGTCTTTTATAGTTCTCTGAAAATAGTTTTCTATTATCTGAATTCTTGAGAACACAAACCAAGCAAGCCCATGTTTTTACATGTTTTCACGTTGTAACAACAGTACCTAAAACAAAACAAAAAAAATCGAAACTCTTAAATGACCTTTGTAAACTAGCCATTATATTTTTCAAATTCCAAACATTTTTTTAGTTTTGTTCAAAAAATATTTCATATATTGACATATTCATTATCAAAACTATTGCCAATTTGTCATTATATTTGTTGAGTCAAATATAGTACTTCAGCACAGACAAGGCAGACATGACAAGTCAAGTATATCCAAATATTATTGAATCAAGACAGAGATTTCAATATAGACAGGGAGAGTATTGACAAATGTTTTAAGAGTGTCTCGAGTTAAGTCAGATAGTGCAACTATGACAAAACAGAGATATTCTATAGAGACAAATCAGACACAATGAGCAGAATGGTGAAATCAACATATTCAATCACTTAACTATAATCCAGGTAATGACCTAGTTTGACCTTATGATTTATTATTGGCTGAGTAATGAATCATTTTCTTGACATGCATACAATGTTTCTAGAATCAAGTTTCAAGGATGCATAACTTGTTTGATCATCTTGGGCATCTAGAGAAAATTATATGTTTTATGCATGCTTAATACTCTAAGAAATCATTAGGCATTGTAGGTGGTGCATATGAACTACATGATCAGATCTTGCGTTTGAATTTATAACCTGCTTATATATATATATGTGTGTGTGTGTGTGTGTGTGTGTGTGTGTGACATCTCTCTCTCTCTATATATATATATATATTATTTTGGTATCATGAAATCTACAAACTGCTTGGTTTGTAACTATAGAAATAGTTTTTCATTCTCGAAAAACTAAAAATTAAAAATTGCACAAAAAACTTTGCTTGGTTTAATTTTCTGAAAACTCAGTTGTAAAAAAACTTGTTTTCAAATAATAGACTTTTATACTCGTAGTTCTATGAAAACTGTTCTCTATTTTCTAAGTTTCTGAAAATTGTTTTCAGAGTTACAAACCAAGCAGGCCCCTAGTTTTTACATGATTAAAATTATATATACACACACACACACACATTAGGTATTTTTTGAGAATTCAAAATAATAGGTTTCACATGAGATAAATCATATACATGTACTTTATACTTAGAAGTTTCAAAACTTATTTTAAGATATATATATATATATATTCATGTATATGCTTCATGGCTACAGGGTTTATAAACTTATGAAGGGTTCGCCCAGTATGGTAGTCTGTTAGTGTCTCACACCCACCCACATAGGTCGCCACAATCATCCCCTCCTTTTTTGGGGCCCAACTTCCCCGTTAGCCACACTTCCGACTCGGTCAGGCTCTGATACCATTTATAACAATCCTCACCCTATCTAAACATAATATTGTTCACTTTTGGCTCCCCCGGACCAGAGACTTCTTAGGGGGTCACCCATCCTGGTATTACTCCAAGTTAAGCACACTTAACTATGGAGTTCTGATGGGTTCACAACCACCACGGCTTTAAAACACGGTGTGTCATAGAAGGGTGTTGAACCTACGTATAGCACATACCTTTTCTATACCCAGAGTGGTAGCATGTCAGTGCCTCACACTTGCCCATGCACACCCGCCCATATACGTCACCACAATCACTCCCCTTTGGGGCATAACGTCCCCATTGGCCACACTTCCAGGTACGTTAGGCTGTAATACCATTTGTAACAACCCTCACCCTATCCAGACACAATATTGTTTGCTTTTGGCTCCCCCAAACCAAAGATTTCCTAGGGGTCACCCATATTGGTACTACTCCAAGTTAAGCAAGCTTAATTGGAGTTTTGATGGGTTCACGGCCATCGCGGCTTTAAAACGCGTTATGTCATAGAAGGGTATTGAACCTACATATAGCACTTGTTCTTTCCACACTCAAGCAAAGTTGGATTGTGCACACAGCTCGTTCAGTGTGGTAATCTGCTAGTGCCACGCACTCATTGTAATATCCCAGATTTTTTTGGATTTTTCGGTATTTCATTTATTTTTATTTTCTATACATTGTTCTACGGGTCATGTAGGTCTAAGTGATTTTATTGCACTTATTTATTTATTTGAGAATTGAGGTGTTACATATGTATTGATATATATATATATCAATGGTTAGTGAGAGGAGATATTTTATGGCATAACTGTGATTGTTTAAAGGAAGGAGGCTAGTTTGGTAAAGTTAAGGGTCAAATGGGAGACCTAATGTTGACCACATGTTCTAAAAGGGGGATTAGATCCATTTTGGACCATACACATCACTCACTCGTCTCTCTTTCTTAGCCGCACATACCCACACCCACTTCCTTCTTTTTTCAATTCTTCTCTCTCTACACATCTCCATTTTTTCTTTATAATTTCTCCATGTTGGAGTAGGATTTGGACAAGGCCATAGTTAGAAGAGTTGTAGCTAGAGCTTGGCAAAGGGAACGTTTTGACACCGGTCTTGCATCCATTTGGCGGAATTTCAAGTTTGGATCTTGAGCCTGGTTTACTTCAATTGAGTAGGAAGTCTAAATTACAAGTTCTTTAATCTTTTTGAATTTTTATTTGTATAGTTATTTGAAAATATGATTATGTGTTAGATGTTACCTTTTACTTGTTGATTTCCTTAAGATGGTTGTTGTCTTACATAAATCATGTTATGCATATGACGATTTGATTTATTTAAGTTAAAACATGCTAATTTGATGTTGTTGTGAGTTGATTTCCTTGAGAAATGCGAATAATTTGATATTTATGTGTGTGTGTGTGTATATATATATATAACATGCATATTATGAACATTTGTTGGGTTCATAGGTTGGAATGGGTTGATGAAATGGTTTTAAAAAGTTTTTGAGAAGTTGATTTGAAATTGAAAAGATTTTGAGAAAAAGTTCGATGAAAACCGAGCGCCTTGGAGATACCATGTGGTCCGGGGGTTAGCCAACCTAGAAGGAAGCACGAAACGAAATTTAGACGTGTAAAATTAAGCTACCTAGGCCCCAAATGACGCTAGGGAGACGCCCTAGGGCAGGGATAGCTAGCCAATTCCTTTCGTGACGCCTAGGTTTGCCTAAGGTCAGGTTGTGTTAATATTTTCGGCGTGAGTTGTGTTGTGATGGAAATGGTTTTGGGCAAATGGGGAGAGTGCATCTCATGACATTTCATTCATTATTTGAAAGGCATGAAATTCAAACATATGTGGAATGATTAATTCTCCCCCAAATTCAAACATATGTGATTTACATGATTACAGGAGGTATACTTTAGGCTATCTCTATTGAGCTATTGTGCTCATCTTTATATTCTAACATTTTCAGGGCATGGCAAGGATGTTGTAGATGATACACCCCCGCAAGCTTCGAAATGGAATGAAAACTATTTTTGTTATATTTTGTAAAGGCATTTTGATCAATTGACTACATGTAATGACATTATTATTTTGTCGACTCCAGATGAAGTCATTTTACATAGCTATGGAGGTCTTGATTATAATCATATTCTTTTAGACATGTATGTATGTTTTAAGGAAATTTAATTCCCAAACGATGTATGAATGGATATATTTTGATGAATTTATGCATTATTATTGAGTTAGATGATGTTCATAAGCTTATAGTTAATGTTTGTGCACTTTGGGTAGCATTGGAATAGGTTTGAAATGTGATCAAATCGACCACTTTATTTCTAGGCATCATCTAACCGGTTAGATGGGGTTGTCTAACCAGTTAGTTGGGCAAGGCAGTGCATGGGTTAGATGGCCATCTAACCAATTAGATGCTCCTATCTAAACGGTCAGTTGGGTGGGTAGAATAGGGGTTAAATGGATTTTTCTATCTAACCGGTTAGATGGGGTTATCTAATTAATTAGATGGCCATCCGACGAGTTAGATGCATCCATCTACCCGGTTAGATGGGTCTTTAGTTTCACATGCTATCTGGACCACGCCATCTAATCGGTTAGATGAAATTATGTAACCGGTTAGATGAGCTAGTATTTACTAGTTGACCCCAAACTTCAGTATAATTACCTAATTGTCCCTAGACTTCATCCCAATCATTGAATGACCCTAGTAAATGACAGTTTTACCCCTCTTAGGTTCTAAACCATAATTGACCATTCTAAATGACAAGTAT